TAAGACGCTACACAAGCTGGCAAAATGCCTTGTGTGAAATAAAAATCTTACCTACTCAAGAAGTACAGGCAACATCAACAATCTCATATAATCCAAGTTCTTGAAATTTTGATAGAAAAATGAGTATATAGTAAATAATTGTTCATTGAAATTGATAATCTACCGACTTTAATATAACTGTTTTTTGTCGGAGTGAAACTCAAATTTTCAAAACTCCTGAATAGTGTTGTGTATTCTTTTCTAAGTCCATTTAACCAATACTAAAAGTGTCATGCAGTTTCAAACAAAATCTCAAACCAAAGAGGCAAAGCAAATATTTTGATTTTAACTCATTCATTAAGTCAAATAGATCAACACATGTTTCCATTATAAACAATCTAATTATAACCAGCTCTTTACAAAGTTAATAGTTTAATTTAAAAAGTTGCAACTTGTTACAAAGTATACACCTGTTTAAATGTAAAAACATTGTTCTCCATAAGGATAGCCTACACTGGGACAGAGCCCTGATAGATTTTTTTAAAGCTTTGAATTGCGTATCAATTGCTTTAAGTTGAACCTTAGTCAATTCATGAGCTCTTGCGGATTGTAGTTTTTGAAATATAGCCATCAGTGACTGATTCAGTCATTCGTCCAGTAAGTGAGTACATGGCAATTACTTTCTTTGTATAGATATATTCTCGTTAGTTTCAAAACATGTGAATGTGTTTGTAGTATATATGAAAAACACTGATCTATATAAGTTTTCCATTAAATTATGGAAAATTGGAGCATTTCATGTCGTAAATTTGAGGGTATATAAGCTTTCATTGCATCCATTATTTATTGTATACTTATAAATGTATTTCTTTGCATCATATTGCATGAAACAAACAAAACAAAAAAATACTGACTTCAATGTCCTGCGTGATACTATAGAAAACAAACAGCATTTTGGCGTCATCGTTGCATTCTGAATCTGAAGTGCTGTGTAAATTTCAGAAATGTTGCAGAACTTCAGCGTCATGGATATAGAATTAGGAAAAGATTACAACTTAAACAATGTTTTATGTTTTCCGTTATAAATCACGCTCTTTAATTTTCAAACATACGTCTCTATACTGAAAAAAATATTCTAAGTTTAGTGTAAAGTTATGAAAACTAATTTCTGAGTGATACATATAATCATAGAACAATTACAGTATGTCAGCTGATCATTGCATTCTGACCTATATTAGGTGCATAAAATAAAGGGTCATCGAAAAAGGTGTCCGTGATTTCAAAGCTTAATAAAAAGGCCCTATATACAGTAAAATATTCAGAGATGCATTAAAGCATGCAGAAACTCATAAACTTTTACCTTAATCTTACATATTTATAACGTAACCCCATTAAAACAATTGTTGTAAATTCATCAGATGGCCTAACAACGTACCGAAACCTAGATCGCATAGATCGACTTATTTTGAACTGGGTACTAAAGGTATTTAAACCACTACAATAGTTCTTATTTAATAAAATAGGATAGAAAATGGATGGACTACTTTCCTTCTCAGGCTTCATTCATTACTTTGTTTTCGACTTAAGAGTCAATATATAACACGATGGATTTGTTGTCTAAATTCGTATGTTATTTTGCGGCACGTTTAGCCGCTCGGGTTTACTAGTATTCAATAACTTCTTAATGTATATTCACCATATTTTATAAAACAAAATAAATGCAAATGCTGAATTTTATGTGCTGTGCAAAATAAAAAAAAACCTACAGCATTTTGGTGTTATCATTGCACTCTCGTTTCAAAGTGCTGGGTACATTGTTTAAATGTTGCAGCATTTCGGCATCATGGAAAGATGCATTAGGAATCAAAGATTATTACTTAAGATATGTTTTTATCTTTTCCATTATAAATGATGCTCCTTTATTTCTAAATGTATGTCTGTATATGGAAAAACTAATGTTTAAGTTTTGCGTGGAATTAGAAAAAAGTACAGCATATTGATATCATCAGTGCATTCTGATCTCAAATAGCTGCATAAAGCCTTAAAAGTTGCAGCATTTCGGTGTTATAGTTATACTCTATATGAGCTATTATTATCTGTTTAACTATAAACAACTCTACAAATGGTATCTATAAAGTATTCCCACGATTTTGATTCTTTTTAACTGTAAATAATTTTAACTGGATTACATTCCACGAAACAAAATGATATATAAAAAAAAACTAATTAATCTGATGAATGAATGTGATATAAAACCTACAACATTTAAGCTTCATTTTTCAATGTGCTGAGTAAATTGTTGAGAATTGCAGATTTTTGTTGTTAGGCCTATTTATACGTTTTTAACATTTTATTACCATTATTAATCACACGGGGACATTTACAAAAACCCTAATGTACAGTTACAACTCAAGACAAATGATCTTTATTGTGCCTAGAACAACAAATAAATATTCTAAAAGAACAAGGGAATATTTGGTAGTATTCATTTGGTTGGACAAGACCTCATGACTTTTTCCAGATGCAAAAAAAGTTGCATCGTCCACAAACATGATTGTTTTTGCAGAAATGTTTTCGGGCAAGTAATTTACCATTATTAAAAACAGAAACGGTCCCAAGACCGACCCCTGTAGTACTCCATACATCACCTCGGTAGCAGCAGACTTTGCGTCTCCTACGTAAACTTTTTGTTGCCGATTTGTAAGATAAGATTCAAAAATTTTGATTTCGTTGCCAACTATGCCATAGTAGTTTAACTTTTTTGAGTATTCCACGGTCGACACAGTCAAAAGCCTTGCTTAGGTCACATAAAGCGGCCTGATTAGACAAACCACCCTCAAAACCCTCAATTACTGAGGAAGCAAGGGCCCCAACTGCATCGCCCGTAGACATGCCAGGTCTAAAACCAAACCAGAAGAACAAGGGAAGCAAAAGACTGATTGAAAAAGAAAAGACCGATTGAATAAAAAAACACTGTGAAATAAAAATTTATAATAATTGCTACCAATAAGCCATTACAAGCTTTTGTAGCTAAATTGTATAAGTTTTGTAATTTTGTATTTTCGGAAACAAATAAGTAAATAAATAATGCTTTTACAGGAAGAAAATATCCACATCATTAGAAATACGGATTCGGAACGTGAAATAGACTAATAAACTTAATTATAAAGATAATATTGCAAACATTCTTTGGGAATAAGTAGATCTAAACTTAGTGTAGCATTGCAATGAAATTTAGTGGTTACAAACGAAAGTACAATCTCTCATAGAAGATATGGGTAGCGGTAGTGACTGTTAAGTCCTTAAGTCAAATGTAACATAAAATAGATTTTGAAAATTGGTTTATTGATAGGTAAGTTAAGGATAGTTTTTTTTGTTTTTTTTTGGGGGGGGAGAGGAGGGAAAATGCTATTACGCACACAGGTAGCCAGCCTGTAGTGTGAGACTTCTGAAACTATCACAGACTACTCACTAAAAAAACCCCTCTACTCTGTTGGACACAGACCTGGAATTGTTTGTCACATTACTTTAAGTCAGGCCAGCATGTGACCTAAGCCCTCGGGGCTCTCACCGTTTTTGGCATTTAGATACTTTATGACCTACACCACATTCCGGTCAAGGTCGAGCTTCTTGGCACGGACAATACCCTGGATGTAATGTGACACACATGTCCAATTGTCCTCACCCTCCGTCATCATCGGGATGACCGTGTCCACTGACAGCAGTCCTACTAACTGTTGAGCCTCCAGGCGGGGCCTTTCCCAACGCTGGCAGTGGGAAAAGGTATGTTCCACGTCGTCAGGAATGCCTGGGCAATATAAGCAATCGGGTGACACGGCTTTGCCCATCCTGAACAGGTACGACCGGAAAAAGCCGTGACCTGTCAGAAATTGGGTGAGGTAGAAGTCCACTCCTCCGCACCGCCGATTAACCCAAGGTTGGACTTGCTGTATCAGTCGCCTGGTCCAGCATCCCCGAGTCTCCTGTTCCCAGCTCTCCTGCCACAGCTGGTAGGTGCGGGTGCGTTCCTCTGTTCGTGCATGGTCCTCCCCACGGCGCTGATAAATTGCCTTTCTCTCCGCCGCCAAAAGTTTGACGGGGATAACTCCAGCCACCGCCAGGACAGCGGGTTCGGACACTGTTCGGTAGGCGGATGCAACTCTTAGTGCTGCCTGACGCTGCACTTGGGCAAGCCGCATCCTATATACCTCCTTATTGAGAGCGTCTGCCCACACCTCAGCACCGTACAAGAGTACGGACTGGACAGAAGACATTAACAGCCTTCTACGGCTGGACCGAGGACCTCCGATATTGGCCATCAGCCGGCTAAGAGAGGAGACCACCTTAGCGGCCTTTTCCACCGTACGGAAAATCTGATCCCGCCAGTTAAGCTTGCTGTCCACCATAACCCCAAGGTACTTGGCAGAACGAACGGTCTGAACTTCGACGGCCCCTACTCTCAACGGCACGATGGTGTCAATCCGTTTTTTGTTAATATCACGATCTCAGTTTTGCTCAAAGCAAGCGAGAGACCGTGGTCTGTCATTCATGCGTTTATGGTACGCATAACTCGGTTCAGCTTTAGCTGAGCCAGCTCAACGCTACGTGCAGCTATCAAAACTGCAACGTCGTCTGCGTACCCAACCAAAGCAGTTTCCTCAGGCATTTCAGACCTCAGGAGGCTGTCATACATTCCACTGCTTACATTCCAGAGGTCTGGGCCGAGTATGGAACCTTGGGGAATCGATGTCGTCCCTTAATGTCTCCCAGCAACTGCGTTTACTCCGGTTGATGGCTCGACGAAGAGACCTCCTAGCCACTCTGTAAGCATCCGACTTACGACGTCTGTCTACAGGTACTCTGGCCCTGGTAGCAAGTCTTCTGGCTCTCAATGCTAACCGACGCAATTCCGCAATCTCAGCAGTCCACCAGTACACAGGTCGCTTATTGCACCGGGATCTCCTGCGAGGCATAGACTCATCGCAAGCCAAAACGATCAGTCCCATCATGAATGTAACTACCGCCTCTGGGTGAGCCATGTCAGATGCGGGAGGAACCACCGGCGTTCCTCGTAAGATGGCTTCATTGAATTTTGCCACGTCCATTTTTTTAAATTCCATCGAACGGGCATTTGATGGAACGCGGCTACTCGTCCCTGATGACCATCCAGGACATCAAAAATTATGTACTGGTGTTCACTGGCCGTGTAATCCTCCAGGAATCTCCAGGCTCTGATCCTTGGCAAAAAAGAGACTTAGATGCAAGGGTACTGTCTGGGATCGTTCCCCGCATCCCAGGGCGCCGGAAAGTTGGCGTGTTGCCCTCGTTGACGACAACGAGTCCGGCTCTGGCAGCAAAGTCCAGAATGTACTTGCCCCGGGAATTTGTGAGGGTCATTCCCCACTCGACAGCCCTAGCATTAAAATCCCCACCCACGACGACGTGTCCTGTGGTATTGCGCACGCTCTCTTCCAGGCGGTCTATCTTCTCACGAAAGTCACGGATGGCCTCGTTGGGAGTGAGGTAGACACTAAAGTAAGTGACATCCCGGCACCGAACCCAAACGAAACCTCTGCCCTTCGCGTGACCCCGTACTTGTACTTTAGCTGCATTACGCGCCCAGAATGCAGCAGTACCAAGACTATCAGGGAACCAAAAAGCTGGGTCCCTATCACGGTACTGGTACCGTTCGCTGACTAAGAGCGCGTCGGCATCGTGTTCTAGGGCAAGCTGACATAGAAGTGCGTCAGCCGTCCTGGATCGCTCAAGATTGCACTGAAGGATTCTTATCTTCGTGGGAGGGCTTTCGCTTGTTGTAGTGCAGATTTAAATACACTACACTGTCCAGACCCAGCTATATGCTTCAAGTGTTTGTCAGCGAGCCCATTTTCTTTGCAAAGAAAACAAAACTCAACCTGGCAGTCCTTACGGATGTGACCAACCTCCCCGCACCGAAGGCAGTTCTTGCTTCGGTCCGGTCCCTTGCAGTTTTGGGAGGAATGGCTGAAACAGAGGCATTTAAAACACCTCTTTACTTCCACTCTCCGTCTGATCCTGCAGTTGACCCTGCCGACTCTCAGATGCTGGAGTGCCAGCACCTTATTGGCATGTGCGTCTGCCATCTCGGCGACCACCATCCGCTGCTGCCTCCAATTCGGTTTTGTGAGCCACACCTTAAGAAAAGCCGTTTGCCCGCCAAGCTCGAGGATAGCTTTCTTCAGGGCTTCAACAACATCAACCTCCGTCGACACACAATCAATGTCTCGAACCTCGACTGATGTCTTTGTCTCAAGAGCACGGACGGTGCCCTGGCCTTCAACAGCTGCCTTCAGTTCGGCAGTGAAGGCTGCTTTGTCTTTCGACCTACCCAGTTCAAGGAGAACGTCCCCGTCCCGGGTTCGTCTAATCGACCGTACAACCGTATCGGTCTGCTCTGGCTTAGCCTTAGCCTTAATTGGATCCAAGACCTCGGCGAAAGATCTGCCCCCTGAGGGTTTGCCCAGGATTGCCTCCGTCCTGGGCTTTTTTGGCCGGGACTTTTTCGGAGCAGAGACCGAGCCGGGCCCAGTTTGAGCCACGCCGGTCGGCTGTGCCTTCACTGCCACATTCGTTTTAGAGGCGACCTCCGCCCACCTCAATTGCCTCTTCTCCTTTTAGGAACGGCGTTTTTCCAACGCAGCCTCAGGTGTCTCCACAACTGATCCCTTTCGGGAACTTCCCTGAGGGAGGGTCGTAGGTAGCTGTGGCTGTTGGTTCTTCACAGAAGCTGCAGCTATGACCGAAAAGGATCTGGGCACAGCAGACAATGGGTCCGTCTGAGTCGCCTTGACCTTTACCGTGGTCCTTTTGGTCTGGACGCCTTCTTCTCTTTTTTGAGGACCATCCGATGTGGAAGGCCTCTTACGTTTCTTAGAAGGCAGCGCTCTTTCGTCGGACAGAGACACAACCTTCTCGGCAATCTTCTCCATGGCTACCTTACTCACCACCCGGCAGGCAAAAACGAAGCCAAGGTCATCCTCCAGTTTGGCCATGCCGTTTTTGACTACTTGATTAACGGCTTTCTGGGTCTGGAAGGTGTCCAGCATAGCCTTTATCGTAACTTCCATGTCTTGGAGCGGGGTTTCAATGTCACTCTCTGCGTCAAGATATTCCTGACGCAGAAACACCATCTCAGAGCCTTCCGACCTCGTCGTTGCTGTGGAAGGCTCCTCCGGCATTCCAACAGCAGAACTTGCTGGCAACGCCAGCTCAACGCCTGACTCTTCAACGTTTTCCACACCGCTCCCAGCTCCACTTGCCGAAGGAGATCCTAAAAGGGGGAACTCCTTAGTGCTTTTGAAAGGTGCAGGTGGCGGGGATGTCCTCACGTTTTTTGGTGGTGGTGATCTCTGAACCTTGGAGCTACGAACAAAAGGGTCCCGCTCCACTTCCAATGTTTTTTCTGCTCATTTGAGCTCTTCATCGAAAATGTGTTTATGGGGGTATTAAAAGCCATCGTGTTTATTCCAGCGCATCGTGCGGCAAGGAGCGGCCCGGAATCAGTCAGGAACGGGTATACCCTCGGGGACAGTAGCCCCTATCCCAGTTCCCCGGGGCCCGACCTCCGTTTGCCCAGCACCGGATACCTGACGTGCCGGGGGTCACCCGTCGCAATGCAGAGTCCGACCTCTACATCCAAGCCGCACTCCCTGACCAAGGACCGAAGTGGCTGGCTTCTCACGACCCACTAAGAATACCCATCGGCAGTGCAGAGCACACATCAACCCCTGCAACACAACAGGGTCACTCCCAGGGACTCCCAGTGAGTTCGTCGGTCACCCTTTTAGTCGCCTCTTACGACAAGCCCGAGAAGGCTGCAGTGCTATCCTAACCCGGTACCGAACGGGGTGTAGTTTAGGGTAGTAAATGCTAAAAATAACGTACGTTACTCGTCAAAAATGTGTTTACCGCACTTGTATCACACCCTCGACTTCGACTTACACAGGAACGACCACACTTGTCCTAGTAAGCACTGACTTTCCGTACTAGTAACGTAATACACTATTTCACCATCTCATCAGTTATTACATTAACGAACAATAAAATAGTAATAATGATTATCTTTCTGTTTAAAGCCTTTATGAGTCGTGCGGAAGTTATATCATTTTCTAATTTATTCTATACTTAGTAATCTCAAAACTAACATTCCTTATGCAAGGAAAGTCACCTAATCTATTTGCATTACTCATGACAAAAAAAAAATAAATAAAAGGTAATATAAAGGTAGGTTAGCTAAAGGTCGCATCATGGGTAAAACACTTTTATCACGGAATGGATTGGAATGATGGATACGTCCCATACAATGAAATAAAGAACGTTTTTAATATGATTTTAGAAGACTATGACTCTATTTACGTCAAAGGGTCGGAAAAACGAACTGTTATTAAAGGTATTTTGACAGGCAAGAATAAACATGTTTTTTATATAGACACAATCTTTTGCCCTCGAATAAACGAATTAAAAAACAAACACGTTTTAGAAAATGCTTTTATCACATACAAAAATCATATCAATGTGCTAATGAAAATGGCCGATTGCTTCTAAACTGGTATACGGATAACGTTTTAAAAAAAGTCCACACTTTTGCAAACTGAAGAAGGTGTAATAAGACAAATTTGTGAAATAATTGGTAAATTCAATAAACGTGATGAATATGGAAATCCATCATTATCGAATCTGCACATACCGGAAATATCATATCCGGCATATTTAAGGCAACACAAATAACGCTAATATGTTGTTGAATTTCTATAATTTCCCTCAAAACTTAGAAATTAATGTGTGCATAAGAAAAGTGTGTATAATATACAGAGAGCAATTATGACTCCAAAATGCTGTAAGTTTTGTAAAATTTACGCAGCACTTCGAAATCAGAGAGCATTGACGACGCCAAAGTGCTGTAAGTTTATTGAATTTTACGCAGCACATTAAAGTCAGCAGTTGTATTTAGTTTTTTCATAGAATATAAACTATTGAAATACATTTATAGATTTATTGAATGTTTTATAGTAAAAACAAATAAGTATAGGTTATAGTAAATTAAAACTAAAGACACCAAAATGATGAGATTTTTAATATTGTACGCAGCTAATAGAGGAAGTTAGCAATAATCACATTACTATGCTGTGAGATTTCTATAATTTCCTGCAACATTTAGAAATTAGTGTATGCATAAAAAGTGTGTATAATATACAGAGTGAAATTATGACGCCAAAATGCTGTATAGGATTTGTAAAATGGTAAATAACACGAGAAAGTTTTGTTATGGAGTGGATGACACAATGCTTACAATCAAATCCCAATCACCTAAGTAAATCGATCAATGACGCCAAAGTGCTGCAACTTTTCAAAAACGTTCGCAGCACTTTGAAACCACAGTGCAATTATGACGCCAAAATGCTGTTAGTTCCCTATAGTTGTACGCATCACATTGACGTCAATTATTTATTTCGCAGAACATGATCATGGAAAATAAATTATAGACAATTATAGCTTATATTGCAATCAACGACACCAAAAACTTCCAATTTCTTAAGTTATTTAGAGCCAATTGATGTCGGTGTAAAATAAAAATGCTGAAATCATATTATTGTTCTAATATTCTAAGTAATACTTAGAAATTCTTGTGTATTTTTTAATCATATGCTGATAGTTTTACAATCGTTAATAACAATAGAATAAATAAGCATTGCTTTAATTATGACATATTGGGTTTTGCGAAAAACATTACGCAGCACTTTGAGGCTAGGCTTGCTATTTTTATTTGACTTCTTTATAATGTATAGTAATTTGTTGTTTTCTTCTAACTAGTACTGAAACACAATTGCTTACTTTAAGTAAGCAGTAAGTTTTGCATGACTTTAAGTTTATGAGGGCTCAGATGTGTTTTTAATCGAAAAAATATTCTGAATATGGTCCTAAATGAATTATTTCACAAGAAATGCATTGCACTTACGAAACCCCCAAAATGCATATTAGAAGCCATAAGCTGACGTAGCCATATGAGAACTTAAATGTCAACCACACACTTTGAAGTGAGTTTTTCAGACCTAATGTAGCAAGCTAA